AACCACCAAACCCCAAACCCAAAACCCGAAGCCCTAAACCCTAAACCCCAAACCCTAAACCCTAAACCCTAAACCCTAAACCCTAAACCCTAAACCCTAAACCCTAAACCCTCAACAAAGGACAGCCACGACCTTCTCAGCTTCGACGCGCCAAGCCCTGCCGTGCCAGCGCCGGCCCCGGCCATGGGGACAAATCTCCTGGACATGTGAGCCGCACCCAGAGACTCCAATACCCCTTAGTGAAGGGTTTTTTGGGTTTGGGGTTTGATGTTTAGGGTTTAGGGTTTAGGGTTTAGGGTTTAGGGTTTAGGGTTTAGGGTTTAGGGTTTAGGGTTTAGGGTTTAGGGTTTAGGGTTTAGGGTTTAGAAGACAGTTCCTCATATGGTTTAAGGAATATTCCTTCATTAAGGGGTATTGGAGCCTCTGGGAACACTGAAGGAGTCCTCCCGATGCCCTTAGGGTTTGGGGTTTAGGGTTTGGGGTTTAGGGTTTGGGGTTTAGGGTTGAGGGTGCAGGGGTTAGGGTTGAGGTTTTAAGGGTTAGGGCTGGGATGTTAGAGGTTTCAGGAGTCCTCTCGATGCCCAGAGAGCAAAAATACCCCTTAACTAAGGAATATGCCTCAAATAGTCTTAAGGGGGTCCTTAATATGATTGAAGGCATATTCCTTGGTATTGGGCTCTTTGGATGCGGTTGAGGGGTTTAGGGGTTAGGGGTTGTAAGGGGTTAGGGTTTAGGATTGAGGGTTTAGGGTTCAGGGTTTAGGGGTTTTGGGTTTGGGTTGACTTGGGGTTTAGGGGGTTAAGGCTTGGGAGGAGTTTGTCGTTTTTGGGTCGGGCTGCCAATGAATTATTCGTCATGCTCCTCAGAGATCTATCATACTCGTACCCTAAACCCTAAGCCCTGAACCCTAAACCTCCAACAGGGGGTCAGGGTCCCGAGATGGGGTGGGGGGCGGGTGAGGGGTTAGGGCTTCGGAGGTATGACAAGTGGGGAACCTACGGTTTAGTGGTTTAGGGTTTAAAAGTTTGGGGTTTAGGGTTAAAGCGCAGGTTAAAATGTTAACGCGTTTTCTGCGTACGGCGCTTCCTACCCATTGCAAATCTCGGCCAGTCTTCTGCTAGGTTGGCTTGTTCAGGATGATATCGGGCTTAGGGTTTAGGGTTTAGGGTTTAGGGTTTAGGGTTTAGGGGTGCTAGGTTGGCTTGATACGGATGATACAGGGCTAAGGGTTTTTTTTGGGGGGCCCAGCATGTCTCGGTTTTCCCCTTGACGGGCTGATGGGGGTGAAGACGGCATGTCATCGGGGTTTTGGAGTACCAGACCTTAATACTGTTCTTGGTTCTGGGTTCCCGTTACAGCTTCTTATACCCTAAAAAGTACATGAAGCAGGTTACATATTTCTGTTCTTGGTGAGTGTGTATAAGGTTCCTTCTTTAATTTTGGTGAGTGTATATACCTGGTGTCCTTTTGGGGCTACAAGAAATATATATATATACCCTACTTCATATACTTGTTTTCCAGGGTCTACTCAAAAAAGTAATGGACATCTGGACTTCACACGTTGCACATGCTCTCCCCGGGACGTCCAGCATCTGCTCAGCGGAAGGATGCTCTCGCGACACTAAACCCTAAAACCCTAAAACCCTAAACCCTAAACCCTAAACCCTAAACCCTAAACCCTAAACCCTAAACCCTAAACCCTAAACCCTAAACCCTAAACCCTAAACCCTAAACCCTAAACCCTAAACCCTACCGTAAACCCTAAACCCTATAACCCCGTTAAGTTTCGTAGAGTTCAGGGCCAAAACCTAACAATACAACGTACCCAACTGGTTGAGAGGGTTCAGGGTTTTGGGATAGGGCTACAGCCCTGTAGGCCCTTTCAGTGGAGAGGATCCTTGGTCTTATTCCCCTATAATAGGTAACCCCCCTATCTACCTTATGTAGTCGCTAGATACCTACGACCCTAAACCCTAAACCCTAAACCCTAAACCCTAAACTCCCTAAGAAGGGTCCCTCCTTTAGTCCCTTGAGCCCTGGAAACCCTAGCACATCTGAAGCCCCGATTCCCACGCTGCAAACCCCCAGGATTTAGGGTTTAGGGTTTAGGGTTAGGGTTTAGGGTTTAGGGTTTAGGGTTTAGGGTTTAGGGTTTAGGGTTTAGGGTTTAGGGTTTAGGGTTTAGGGTTTAGGGTTTAGGGTTTTGGGTTTAGGGGTTTGGGTTTAGGGTTTAGGGTTTAGGGTTTAGGGTTTAGGGTTTAGGGTTTAGGGTTTAGGGTTTAGGGTTTAGGGTTTAGGGTTTAGGGTTTAGGGTTTAGGGTTTAGGGTTTAGGGTTTAGGGTTCTACCGTACAACCCTACCTGGAAGTACCATGTACCTCCAAGAAAGGCCCTAAACCCCAAGAACTCTAAAACCCTAGGAACCCTACACCCCAGGTTTTCCTAGAGTAGTTGCATGGCCCCTTAATATGGGCCTTTAACAGGGGGACCCCTTATATACCCCTGAAAACACCTACAAAACCCAAGGGCCCAATATTTCAGAACCCTTTAAAGGAGGTAAGGGACCATAATCAGCGGCCCATGAAACTACGCTTAGAGGTTAGGGTTTAGGGTTTAGGGTTTAGGGTTTGGTTTAGGGTTTAGAGGTTTCGGGTGCAGGGTGTCGCCACTGCCTGCTTCTGGCAGGGTATCCCCTGGTGCGGAAGGGATCCGAAACCCAAGGCGCTAAACCGAAATACCCTAAGCCCTGATGACCCAGATGCTGCTTCTGTTTCTCCAGACTCGGCCCCTAAACCCTAAACCCTAAACCCTAAACCCTAAACCCTAAACCCTAAACCCTAAACCCTAAACCCTAAACCCATAAGAATCCTTCCGTTTGGGAGATCATGTCTCCTTTTTGCCCATGAGACAGGGCATCGAAGATGCCCTGAGCCAACAGAACTTGGAGGTTCCTGATACTTAGTAGCCGAATCTTTGCTGGTTTAGGGTTTGTGGTTTTAGGGTTTAGGATAACTGTACTTATTACCCCATTGTAACCCCATTAGGTCACGTGAGGGACTTATAAGTGGGTTAAAACTAAGCTTCTAGTTGGGTTATAAGTACCCTGAACCTCCAAGTAGTCCCTAAACCGTAAACCCTAAACCCTAAACCCTAAACCCTAAACCCTAAACCCTAAACCCTAAGTGCACTGAACCTCCAAGAAAGGACCTGACTTTCGCCCACCAGGAGAAGACCTTCACCCGGGCGGCCGTCAACCCTAAAAACTCTCCAACAGGGGGTTGGTTTTAGGTTGTTTCATGGGTCAGGGCCTATTTCCTATTAAACCCCATTAAACCCTATTAAACCCTATTAAACCTACGAAACCCTATCAACCATACGCTCTTTCTAACCCACAAGCCCTGTAAACCCTATAAAACCCTAGAGCCCTATCAACCCTAGAGCTGCAGTCACCTGTCTGCGGTTAGGATTTCGGGTTTCGGGTTTCGGGTTTAGGGTTTAGGGTTTAGGGTTTAGGGTTAGTTTTGTCGATCTGGTGAAGGGGGGTTCTGGTTTGGGGTGTAAGGCTTGGGCCCTACCTGCAGCCCTAGACCGTGACGACATCTGCGCAAGGTGATGGCAAATTTGTTCTCAGGGGCTCAGGGCTTCTGGTTTAGGGTTTAGGGTTTAGGGTTTAGGGTTTAGGGTTTAGGGTTTAGGGTTTAGGGTTTAGGGGTTCTATTCAGTGTTTTTTTGTATCTTTTTCAAGAAGTCTAGGGCTTCACATTTAGATCGCACCACCGAGCTGGACTCTGGGTGTTTTGGGATAAGGCTTGCTTGGTATCCTCCAAACTCGCAACTCTGCAGCCGGGCAGAGCTTTAGCCCTGCACCCTAAACCCTAAACCCTAAACCCTAAACCCTAGTTTAATAGGGGTTGTGGTATATAGGATTTAATAGGGTTTAATAGGGTTTATAGAGTTCATAACTTTATAGGGTTCATAGGGTTTCTAGGGTTTCTAGGGTTTCTAGGGTTTATAGGGTTGATAGGGTTTATAGGGTTTATAGGGTTTATAAGGTTAACAGGGTTCGGAGGGTTTAGGGTCTAAACGGTTTGGGATTCTGACCGCCCGGGCAGTTTGGCCCCTGTTGGGGGTGCCAGAGTGAATAGGAACCCAATCCCTAAGCCTCAAAGCCCTACAAGGCCTTATAAGCCCTAAACCCCGAAAGCCCACGACGGTCACAGGACCCCCCCACTCTGTGGGTCAGCAGCGCTCCCCACGAACAGACTGCAGACACCCAAGGCGGCAAAAGAATAGCAAGCAAGCGTTGGTCTCTTTGCGGGTTCGGGGGGGGCGGGGGCGGGGGGGGGTAGAGAAGGAGCCCTAAACCCTACAAGCCTTCAACCGCGAGCCCTCAAAAAGCCTCCTTGCAACAGTCATGGTTCTCGTGCAAAACACCGAGCCCGAGCGGTTTAGGGTTGAGGGTTAGGGTTTAGGGTTGAAAGAACGGGGAAGAGAACTTCTTGTGTGCATCCAGACATCCAGACATCCTGGTCTCCAGCCTATGTGTTCGGAACTGAATGCCATCCACATAACTAAACCCTAAACCCTAAACCCTAAACCCTAAACCCTAAACCCTAAACCCTAAACCCTAAACCCTAAACCCTAAACCCTAAACCTTAAACCCTAAACCCTAAACCCTAAACCCTAAACCCTAAACCCTAAACCCTAAACCCTATCATTCTCGTGGGCACCGCAACCCAAGCAGCCCCAAACGCCCAAACTCAGGGCGCCCAAACGCATCATCCGAGACTATGGCGGCCTGAAATTCGAATAGGGTGTTGGGGGTTCTTATAGTACAATTATCAAGAGGCCATAAGGGAATACTATTGGTTTAAATTTTCCGACCCTAACCCTAAACCCTAAACCCTAACCCCTGACTTCTGCAACGTTTGGCCTCAGGGAAAAGTCTCAGAGCTCTTAGGGATAGCCCTCCTAGACTCCAGTGGCAGCCCTTTCAACGCCATGTCTCACCGCAACTGGGCACAAGCGCTCGTGTTTGGGGTTTAGGGTTTAGGGCCTAGGGCCTAGGGTTTAGGGTTTAGGGTTTAGGGTGTTAAACCCTAAACCCCAACCTTAAACCTTAACTAAGCCCCACACCCTAACCCCCAAGCCCTAACCCTAAATCTTGAACCCCGAAAGCCCTGAAGCGTGCTTCACGGTGGGAGTTGAGGGCGGCAGCCTTAAACCCTAAAACGGCAGGGTTTATGTTCAGGGTTCAGGGTTTAGGGTTTAGAGTTTAGGAAAGCTGACAGAGGGGGGGTATAAAAAGAAACCTCGCACCAAGGAAAACTGTTGTGCATGGGAAACATGTGCCTTCGCATGACATGCGCCCCCCCAACACCCCTATTTTGTCGGTGCACCATTGCCACATGCTACTTACTGCCACCGCGCGGCGAGACGTCCTGAACCCTAAGCTCTAAACCATAAACCCTGAACCCTGCTCCCAAAACCCTAAACCCTCAACCCTAAACCCTAAACCCCAAACCCAAACCCCAAACCCCAAGCCCCAAGCCCTAAGCCCTAAACCCTAAACCCAAGCACCTGACGGCTCCGAGATGCACCTGAACCCTCCGCCACCCCTACGGCCGGAGTCAGGAGATGGAATGTTGAAGCTCTGATTCCTCAAGCCGAAGGTTTAGGGTTTAGTGTTTAGGGTTTAGGGTTTAGGGTTTAGGGTTTAGGGCTTGACCCAGACGCATCTGCCAACAAATCCTTTTGAGGCAAGTTCGAACGACCCCGACATGGCTCCCTGGGCTTCTTGCCCCGCAAGCGAACGAGGCGACGGTGTAGGTTTAGGATTTTGGGTTTAGAGTTTCGGGTTTCGGGTTTCGGGTTTAGGGGTTCAGGGTTTAAATTCGGGCTTTGGGGGTCAGACTACGAAAGGGTTTCATTCCTATTACTGTCGGGCTAGGCGAAAAGGCAAACAACCTAAACCCTAAACCCCAGACCCTAGACCCTAATCCCTAAACCCTAAACCCTCTTTTTTAGGAAGCAAGTATTCCTCCACGAATCAAGACCGAAAGTAGTCGACAAAAACTCGGAAGGAGCTCCTCTTCGGGGGCCTTAAACTCCGGGAGCCGCAAACATAAAGGTTGGGGTTGGTTTAGGGTTTAGGAATTAGGGTTTAGGGTTTAGGGTTTAGGGTTTAGGGAGCTTCAGGGTTTGCCGCGCCGGGCTTCGGTGTAAAAGACCCCGGGACTGAAAGGTCTTAAGGGCTGAAGATGAATTTCCGGGGAAGGGCCCCAGCAGCTCGAGGGTGAAAAGGCCTCCGTAGGGTTTAAGGTTCGAGGTTGCTAGGATTTAGAGTTTAGGGTTTAGGGCTTAGGGTTCAGGGTTTAGGATTTAGGGTCTTGGGGTCTAGGGTTTAGGGTTGACGGTTTAGGTGTAGGGTTTAGGGTTTAGGGTTCAGGGCTGGAGTTGGTGAACTGCTCTAACACAAAACCTCTCGTAGGATAACCTCCTTCCCCCTTCGCCACACTCCTCCTCCTCCTCCGCCTCCTCCTCCTCAAGGTTCCTTCTTCCCGCCTGAACGCCTACACCCTAAACCCTAAACTATAAACCCTAAACCAGGACAATAAACCCTACACACCCCCCCCCCCCCCCACCCAAATATAGCACCGACAGGCACCACCAGGGCAAGATCAAGAGCTTCCCCAAGGATGACCCTGCAAAGAAGCCCCACCTCACTGCCTTCATGAGCTACAAGGCCCAGGGTTGAAGGTTCGAACTTGCCAGAGGTTTAGGGTTTAGGGTTTAGGTTTGGGTTGAGGGTTTAGGGTTTAGGGTTTAGGGTTTAGGGTTTAGGGTTTAGGGTTTAGGGTTTAGCGTTTGGGGTTTGGGGTTTAGGGTTTAGGGTTTAGGGTTAGGGTGTGGAGTGCAGGGTTTAGGGTTTAGGGTTTAGGGTTTAGGGTTTAGGGTTTTAGGGTCTAGGGTTTGGGGTTTAGGGTTTAGGGCTAGAGCTTAGGGTTTCGGACTATTTAGGGCTGAAGGGGTTTAGGCTTCCGGTCCGGTTTTCGTACGTCTGCCTGATGAAGTATGCAGTGTACGCCGCTTTGGACCAGGCAGGATTCAGGGTTAGGGTTCAGGGTGTAGGGTTGAGGGTTTAGGGTTTAGGGCTTAGGGTTTTTCAGGGTTCAGGCTTCAGAGCCTAGGGTTTAGGGTTTAACTAGGGTCTAGGGCTTTGTTCGGAGAAAGTGATCCCATTCATAAGTTGCAGTGCAGAAAAGCATCTCCTAATTTTAAGCCCTGCCTGAGCGACAAAACTTTGTGTGGAGATGACTTGAATAGATTTGTCCGTTCTGCTTCAAGGGTCCTACAAGTGCATGTTTCAACGCAGAAGCCCTAAGCCCTGAAAACCCTTCAAATACTAAAACCCTAGCGCCCCTAAACCTACAACTAAAACCCCAAAACCCCTAAACCTGAAAAACCCCAAAACACCAAAACCCCAAAACCCCAAACACCCCAAAACCCCAAAACCCCCAAAACCCTCAAAACCCCAAAAAACCCAAAACACCAAAACCCCAAAACCCCAAAACCCCAAACACCCCAAAACCCCAAAACCCCCAAAACCCCTAAAACCCCAAAAAAAACCAAAAACCCCAAAACCCCAAACACCCCAAAACCCCAAAACCCAACCCTAAACCCTAAACCCCAAAACACCAAAACCCCAAAACACCAAAACCCCAAAACACCAAAACCCCAAAAACCCCAAAACCCCAAACACCCCAAAACCCCCAAAACCCCCAAAACCCCAAAAAACCCAAAACACCAAAACCCCAAAACCCCAAACACCCCAAACACCCCAAACACCCCAAAACCCCCAAAACCCCTAAAACCCCAACAAAAACCAAAAAAAACCAAAACCCCAAAACCCCAAAACCCCCAAACCCCCAAACCCCAAAAACCCAAAACCCCAAAACCCCCAAAACCCCAAAAAACCCCCCGAAACCCCCAAACCCCAAAACACCAGAACCCAACCCTAAACCCTAAACCCCAAAACACCAAAACCCCAAAAAAAACCGAAAACCCCAAAACCCCAAAACACCAAAACCCCAAAACCCCCAAACCCCCAAACCCCCAAACCCCCAAACCCCCAAACCCCAAATGAGTGAGTGAGTGCGTCTAACGTCCCTGCGGCCAAGCAAAGCCCGCCGCATGGGCGCAGAACACACAAGTTCGGACCCACCCACGGGCCAAAACTCTTGGTATTCTACGGGGACGAGGAAGGTAGTGAGACAGGTCTTTCACTGCTCATCCTTACTCGACCCGGGATCACAGATGGAAGAAAAACTACGAAAGCCCATGACTTGACGAAGACCCATACAAGCGCTCCTTGGTTTTCCTTGTTACTGGGAGATGTTGCTGCACAGCAACTGCATGCAGGTGCCTACAACCTTCTGACAGGCCAGCGTGACCCTGACATCTTGATGCTGCTTGAGAAGAAAAAACGCCAAGCTCTGTCCCTCCGTTCTTTCAGGGAGGCACACAGCCGCGGCAGCGTCATCCAAGACACACTGTGTGCCCGGACACTCGGCGAATGCGTGCAGCACAGTCGCGTAGCGAGCACCGCATAGCGAACAGCTATCCAGGCACAAAGGAAGCCCCGAATCCTGAAACAAACAAAGTGGCCACGCACCCGTAATGCCTATGATTGCCCAACATCGAAGCCACAAGGATGCTCCAGGGCTAGTCTGGGAGCGAATATTTTCAGAGACTTCTCCCAGCCCAACTGAGCGCCCGAGGTCTTCAAACGAGAAGGTAAAGCCTGGGAGCAGTTTCCCCCGAGCTTGTTCCCCCGCTGCCCTGTCATATTCCAGCAATATGGGTCTGACAATTTCCAGTCTGTAGCGCCTGAGTAAATCTTTTCGCAAAGATGAGCTCGATCTCGCTGCTTCTAACTGAACCGAGTCAAAGCCCTTGGCCTCAAACACCAGCGGGATGCGCGATGGCAAGCCTTCACATTGCAAAATCGCCAAAACGTCCTGCGTCCAAGAATGACAAGGAATACTCAAAGCCATTCGCACGAAGAGAGCACCTGGATGCCCCTCAGGCAAAACCAAAAGTCTTGCCAAAGCCACGGCTGCACCTTCGATGACATACGAGCCGAGCCGAAGAGGCCACCCGCACTGTGTGAAAACCAAGGCCCAGGGAAGGGCAAAATCATGCGACGCGCCCAAGAGAACTCGACCCCACTTCCATTGGAGTTTGTTAAGTTCGTGCTCAAAACCCTGGGTTGAAACAAGAAAAGGAGCCGCAAACAAGAACTCAGGCACCACCCTACGGTATGCTTCTTCAGCGATTACTGAGAGAGGGAAGCCAGCTGTTTCGGCCGAGTTGAAGAGCTGCACAAAAGCATCCCAACCTCTACCCAAAGCCTCCTTTAAACAAGGAGAAAAGGTCAAAGCATCGTCAACAAGGATCCCCAAGAAGCGCTTGGTGTGCACCAGTTCCATGCACTGTTCACCAGACAAAGACGACATGTCCGAGTTTCCTAAGTTCATTACGCAGCATTTGCCTGGACCATAATGGAATCTAGCCTTGGCCTTGAGAGCATATCTTGAGCACGCAGACTTGCTGTTGGCATCCATGACTGCATGTACGTGGTCCAGAGACGCGCAAGGTACTGTGACATCGTCCACATGTTGGGCTGCAACAAACCCCCCTTCGCCCAGAAGTTCCAAACTTAGAAGCCGTAAGGAGGCACCTTGGAGGCTGCAGAGAGCCAAAGTAGCCTCATGTTGACGGGCTTCCGTCTGGAAACAATTCCCAGACGCAGCATCTTTGATAACTTGACTAACGTCTTCTGCCATGCTAATGTTAGAGGGCGTCCAGCTGCAGTGGCGAACTGCCGGGGCCAGTTGCTGCGCCGCATCCAGAAGTTGATTCGCGTACTTTGGCAAAAGTGCCCGGGTACCGCCTGGCGCCGCTTTGTTGATCTCTACTTGTAACCATTTGAGGAGGGCGTTGAAGACGCCCACTGAAAACTTGCGACCTTGAGCTGTGCCACAACCTAACTTGAAAATTGTTGACAAAAGACCATGAAGAGAGAGACACTGAGAATCTTGGTCCATAATATCGTCAAGCAAGAGCCAGTCCAGAATGTCGACATTTGCTTCAGCAACAGCAATCTTCATCCCAGGAAGAATTGCTGTGTCGAACGCCCATTTTAAATCTAGGACAGCCCAAAATGTGGGGAGGTTTTGGGACTTCCTGATCTGCGCATGAAGGACCAGGCCAAGCACAAGACTGACAGGGTCAAGGCAACCTCCAGTTTGCGAAGGACCCGCGTAATCAATCAGCTTAGCTTTGTTTCGTAGCATCCACAAACCATCCTGAACATGTGCCATGTCGCTGCAAATGGAGATTGGCCTCAAGTTCGCAATTTTGGATACCGTCAATGGTCCCTTTTTGTGAAGAGGGCTGTATTGACGCAATGACCATAATGAAGAGGTTAAACCAAGATGTCTGCTCAGATTTGCCAAAGCCAGGGTGAGGAACCTGGCCTCAGGCAAATCCACCTTTAGGGCCGCAAAACATCCTCGAATGCACTTCTTAGTGGTGTTAAGGCTAGCGATGACTGTGTTCAGTTCTGTCATTGTGTACCGCGAGGAGCCATCCGGGCTGAAAGACTGCAGCCTGAGATGAGATAAGCGAGCGCTCATCTCCCTTTCACTCTGCGGGTCCTGTGGGAAATCGTTGTGTGCACGGGCAAAAAGGTCTTCAATTATGGCCGAAACCATTTGAGGAACAGTCATAGTACAGCCGCCATCATCCTTTAAGGCAATAGAGAACGACTTGTGTTTAAAAAATGAAGACAAATAGTGCGAAGCTTTAGCTTTGTCCGAGGCCAGCAGCTTTGCGTAAGTGGCTACTGCAGCCCTCCTGTCTTGCACCTTGCGCGACTCCACGGTGTTGTAGAAGAGAACTTTATCTGTAAAATAGAGATGGTCAAGGGCATCGTCCCTCTTTCTCTTGGCCCTCCCACTTGAAAAATGAACTGCCCGCATGGTGTGTCCTGCTATGACGTAAACTACGTCTCGGTTCCACGCGCACGCATCCAAAATCAGGCGCCTTAGCTTCTTAGGAACGCTGCCGCCTCCTTGCTGCGGCTGCCATTCTGGAAAAGACAACATTTCATTAATGCCATCTGCCAGAACTTCCAGGATTGACCTGACTTTAGAGAGAGAAATGGTCCATTGAGACATACTGCCCCAGTTCACTTTCGGTAAGGACTGCGTGCTATCGCCCTGCGCGAAGCAGTCAAGAGAAAAGCAAACTAGTCTATGGTCAGATAAAGCAATACGTTGGGGCACCACTTCCACCTTGATTTGCAGAGTATCCTCCGATGCCGCTGTGAATACCAGGTCAATAATGGTTCCGGAATCATGAGTCGCTTCACATGAATTTAATACTTGCAACCCACTGTCTGCAAGCATGCTCTCGACATGTTTGTCCACACTGCTTTGTCTGCAATGGGAGCAAGAGCAACCTTCCTCGTGATCCATTAGAAATGAAAGGTGAATGTTCGCGTCGCCAGCGAATACAAACTTAGCTGCGGGAAAACGGAGCTTTAAGGCATTGTAAGAACGAAGTAGGGAAGTCCAAGTTGCGATATCTCCTCCTGGTTTCATGTAGAAGCCCGCAACCAGCAACCGGAAGGAACCAGCTGAGACATCGTTGTTGCTGACAGTCAAACAAAACCAAAAA